AAAAATATATAAAAATGCATGTGGGTACTCAAATGAAAGCTCTTGATGAGTGTAACATCAGGATGAGCATATATTTTTAAAAAGATCAATAGTTAAGAAAACATAGTGCAATTTGACGTAATTAAGAAATTACCTTGTATCTTGTTATCTATTGACATTTTTAAAGATATAAGCTCACTCTGACATTACACTCATCAAGACCTTCCATTTGAGTACCCACATCAATTTTTCATATATTTATATATATGTATATATGAAAAATATATCAAAAATACATGTGGGTACTCAAATGGAAGCTCTTAATGAGTGTAACATCGAGATGAGCTTATATCTTCAAAAATGTCAGTAGTTAAAAAATTACAGTACAACTTAACAAAAGTCGTTATTAAATAAAGCAAAATTTTATTTATTTATCGTTCACAATTCACGGTAGTCACATCGTGGCTGCAAGGTGGCTAGTAAATTATAAGTTACTGGAATGAAAATAATATGATGCACTGTTTTGGTGTTGAATAGCACAATAACAAAGGTATAAAAATTTTAAGTTTAAAAAATATTGCACCGTAGCATATGTTTGAAAATGAATATCAAAGATAATTATAACGGCGTAGATAGCATATGTGAGAAATTTCTTCCTGTAACGGTGGTTGCGTAGCAGTGTTAAATAGTGATGCTGATCGAGGATGAATCTCATTCTGTTTAACAACAGACTATTTCAGTATAACTCTTCCGGACGTTGAGAAAGCGAAAGCGATTAAATGTCGGATGTCTTGAAGCATCACAAACTCGTTTTGTTTATGGCCTTCCCGGTCACAAGTTTCGTACGTAAATGAATAAATGTCACTCTCCGATCTCGAGATGTGTATTAAGCAGCGTAACGGGTTAGACGAGGTCATGGATTACAAGGTCGCTAAGCCAGAGCCAGGTTTTGTTTTGTGACCTCCAGCGGTGAAACGCCGCAGGCAACCGACTCAGAGCAACGATCTAAGGATTAACTGGTCAGGGTCAAGATCTTGGTTTCTCAGGAAATTGCTTCCGAGTACGTGACACTTTTTGCTGGATTAACTAATGTTGTTCTAGTTAGTCAGAGGAAAATCCCCGTGATTTTGTTAGTCATTTGTTCATGACAATGAGCTCGATTTTTTTTTTTATCTTCATTAGTCAGGATTCTGATGATCTTGAGCAAGAGATAGAATTGTAGATTAATTACTTTTATGGAAATTCGTTTAAAGAATTTTTTTACCGGACGCTAATTTCGATAGTTTTTACGGTAAAATTACGGATAAAATTAATTTTTGAAGAGAGTATAAACATATTTTTGTTAGAAGGGAAATAGAGTAACCTTGAAGTATTTTTACCGGGTGCTAATTTGGAAACGCTTGAATAGAAACATTACAGAAGAAAAATTATCCAAAGTGATTGTTTATAGTTGAATATTTTCTTCAAATTTATGAATGGTTAAGTTCAATGTTTTTTAATTAAAAAAATTAGTTTTATCGGAAGCTAATTATCATACTGATATGGTAAAGTTACCGTAATAAAACTACCAACCAGGTTTTTCTTCATATTGCTGTAAGATAAGATTGTGTGTAAATATTTTTTGAAAGAGAAATGTTCGAAAGTTTTCATCGGTCGCTCATAATGAAACTATTACCCAAAACCGTTAATTTTGGTGAATTATTTTATTAATACTAGCGACCTTACAGTAACTAAGTAATTGCCGTGACTTGTGACCTATACAAAATTAAAATTTTGCTCTATTATATAATGACTTTCGTCAAATTGCACTGTACCTTCTTAACTATGGACGTTTTTAAAGATATAAGCTCATCCTGATGTTACACTCATCGAGAGCTTTCATTTGAGTACCCACATGCATTTTGATATATTTTTCATATATTTATATATATAAATATATAAATATATAAAAAAATTGATGTGGGTACTCAAATGAAAGATCTCGATGAGTGTAATGTCGGGATGAGCTTATATCTTTAAAAATATTAATAGTTCACAAGATACTTGTTAAATTGCACTGTACTTTTTTTGATATTGACATTTTTAAGGATATAAGCTCATCCCAATGTTACACTCATCAAGAGCTTTCATTTGAGTACCCACATGTATTTTTGATATATTTTTCATATATACATATATATATAAATATATGAAAAATTGATGTGGGTACTCAAATGAAAGGTCTTGATGAGTGTAACATCGGGATGAGCTTATATCTTTAAAAATGTCAATAGTTCACAAGATACAAGGTCATTTCTTAATTATCTTGAATTGCACTGTACTTTCTTGAATATTGATTTTATTAAAGATATAAGCTCATTCTGATGTTACATTCATCAAAACCTTTCATTCTAGAGATAGAGCATTTTCGAATGCAGCCTAAATACTTATCATAATAAATTATCAGTGAGAATGAAATGAAACCTTGAAAAGGCACATATTTAAATTAAGACCTTTGCAATGACACTAAATTTCACTAAAAAAATCGATTTTATCGTATGACTATCCTGGACACAAAATTTTTCTTATTCTCTTAATAATATAGACTACTTACTATTGCGTTTATTATTATTGATGCACTAAAAAAATGTGAAATATTACGGGTTGTTTATTTTCATTCTTTTTATAGTTAAATTACCGTAGAAAAATTCTTAATAGGTAACGTATGGTCAATAATTAAAAAAATGTACAATATTGTAAATCATTTTTCTTGTGCTAATTTGTAAATTTTCAATGCAATGCTTCCTAAATGAATATTAAAAAACTTACCTTGCATTTAAAACGTTTTTTCCAGGTTTTTGGGCGTACTACTTCTAACAAAAGACTTGACGCTGGTAAACCATCGAAGGTGAACGCCCTCCATCTGAAAAGAAAAAAGAAGCCCAAAAAATTTGCCATGACCCTGAGACAGTCCTTGAAGCACACTTGTTTATTATCAACTGATAATGAATGAAATGAATCATTCTGCTTCGTCATCTTCGATATTACGCAAAAAGCGCCCCCGACAAGTCCTAGCCGATTACGTTTTATCTCAGACGATGAGACATTCTGGTCATTTCTACACATAATAAATAATAAATAATAAATATATCGATATTCAAATAATAATAATAATAATAATAATTTCCTATTAGAAGTTAGAAATAGCCGTAATAAATGAATCCTTTAACAGTAAGAACAATAAATTTTGATGTAATGCTAAACTTTCAAACTTTTGCTGCATAACATCAAAATGGTGATTCCTAAGCAGCATTCTGACGCAATGGGCAGTTTCTGCTGCATTTAATTATGATTTAAAGAGCTATTATGCATCATTATTATTATGATTATCATTACAGTATATATAGATATCAAATGTATTGAGTGACGGGAAATTGTGCTCAAGTTAATACAGAATGTGACCTTCGATGCCGAGAAGAGAAATCACTGCTGGTTATGCTAAATGCAGAGCTCCGACGAATTAACAACCGAAGGAACTTTTATCTTTATCATAAATAGAATAAATATGTATTATATATATGTTTAATTTTAATATATAAAACGACGGACATCCTCGTCGTTTTTTGTCAAATAAATATCTCCGTTAGGTTAATATTAATTCTTTCGAATTAAATGAAATGTTTTAAGTTTTACTAATCATAATCAGTAACTGGTATTTTTAAAATAAAAATTGACGGATTTATTTATTTACGATTATATTTTTTATAGTTTAATTAT